ACTGGTGTTTAAATGCTGGAAAGCCAAAAAATGACAAATGCCCACTACAAATTTTTTCAGGTACAGTTATTCTTGATAGAAAGCAATAATATTTCAAACCCTTGCTTCAGCCTTCTTGTCACATAGGCAGAAAAATCAATTCTTGTATTTACCTAGCATTTTCCAGACTAGTCTTGCAAGAAGAGGGCATCCTACTTCCCACTGACCTTCAGTGACACTGGGAAGTAGGATGTGTCTCATTGGAGAAAACACTGCTGGTGGTCTATCTATAGTTAGTCGTCCCTTCTTTGTTATTAGCTGAATTCTGATTTCATTCAAGTTCTCATCCTCTTCTGAACAGCCATATACTTCAGAGGACTATGTCCTCCCTTGGGTAAAGCTCAAATAATGCTCCCTTAAGCCACAATAAGTTTTTGCTAGAGCACATGATGCAAATTTGGCAAATGAGAAGCATAAGGAGTTCACTGCAGGATTTGAGGAGAAGTTTTCCCTATTCTTAAAAAGAAGTTCTCAGGAAGAAATTCTGTCTCTTTCCTCTGTACAATGTCATGGCTGGATGTGATGCTTAGGATTGCTGCTGCCATCTAGCCACGAACCTGAGAATGAAGCTAAAGCATATCATAGGTAAAGGTGGGACAAAAATAATTCCAGAGGAAAGTGGCTGCAGCTCTGTCCTAACTATTTATAATAAGAAAGAATAAGTGTTGCTATTTTAAAAGTCATTCTAGGGTGGATATTTTTATTACTTGCAGCTAAACACATAGAAACTAATCCAGACAGTTTTTATTGAACCATCCCTCTATATCCCAAGGAATAAACTATCTGTGTGTTAATCCTCTGTACTGGCATATTGAATAACTCATTAATAAAATAGCAAGTATTCCATAATTATTTCCATGTAAATCTTAAAAGATAATAACGCTTTACTTCTTTGGTTCACTCTCTTTACTTTTCCTCTTGTCTTTATTAGTCCCATTGGCTTTCATACACTGAAACGTTATGAACCATGTCACTTGTTAGCAAAGGAAGTAAAACAAAAATGTTCTCAATGCAGTAGTTCATAATTTTCATGACATCATATGCAATTGCACATATCAATGCAAGTTATATACCTAACAAATATACACTGAAATAATGAATTATGCCCTATGTTAGTATTTAAATATGACATTTTGAAGGATCCTGATGGATGTAACAAATCTATCTACTGCATGTGAGTTATTAACAAAAAAGACATATTACACAAGAAAAGACACATCATAACACATATATTGAGCATCTACTGTGCAGTAGGCTGGGTACAAAGATTCTGGTTAAACAAGAGTGGCAGAGTCCCTACTCTCATGGGGTTTACAGACTGTGAGTAGTCAAACTAATAAGCAGGAAACTATAATGGTGTGTGATAAATTCTCTTATATAGTGCAATGTGGGGAAATACAAAAAAGGTATTTAACTTAGAATCACGAAGGGGGTTGGAATGGGCAAAAAATGATTTCTGGAAGAAATACATCAAAATTGAGTCCTGGATATATAGATAGTTACATGTGAAGAGAACTAGAAAAGAGAAAATATGCATTAAGCATCTTCAGAATGCTGACAGTGGCTATATTGAGGCAGGGAGTAGCAAATTAACAAGTGGGATTAGAGAGGGACAGAGGGAGCAGAGCATGAGGGACATTTCTAATTTACATTAAGGTATTTGGATTTGAAAGGGGCAGAGCAGAAGCAGGGGCAATTGCTTCCAGGTAAGATGCTGTAGAGTGGTTGTCAAAAAGGTAATGGGAAGGGAAAATTGTGGAGCAATATTTAGGTCATGGATCAGTACTTGAATGTGGTGGAAAGGGCAAGAAAGGCATCAAGATGATACTTTGGTTGAAGTGGATGGAAAGGTCATCACTGGAGAAGGGCCATCATTAGGCTCTGATATAAGGGAATGCGTTCAATTTTGTATGTGACTCTTAGTTATCTGTACAGCATCTCTTGGCTATTGGATTTGGATAGGCAGTTGTGTGCACAGGTATGGGGTTTGGATATCAGAAGTCTCTGAAGTCCAGTGTTCTGGTTTATTAAATGATGATGATAATATCTACCTCATAATGTTATTGTGCAGATTGAAGGAGACAAAATATAAAACAACATACACAGTGTTAAAAAGAAGGCAAATATTATTGTGTAATAATGTACTTGATTTTCAGGACTCCATTTTGTTGCATTTCTTCTAGGAATCATTTCCTGCCCATTCTGACCTTCTTCATGTTCTTCAATTCTTCTAAATTCTTTAATTATATTGTCAATGTTGCTTTTCCTTCTGTTACTCAGTCCTATCGCTGGAGATGATTAAAAAGATTACAGCTAATGCCCACAGAATATTTATGGTGTACTAGACACTCTTCACTCCTTTAATATTGTACATATATTGAATCATTTAATTCTCAGAAAAAAACATATGCAATAGTTATTTTATCATCCCCATTTTATAGATGTAAAGACAGGCACAAAGAGTTTAAGCAACTTGCTAAAGATCAAATGATGGACCTTGGATTTGAACCAAAACAGTGAGGCTCCTGTTATTGCATTTAAACCCCTATGCTATCATGCCTCTTTCCATAGGTAGATATATCAGAATATACTCTTGCTTAACACATTTTTAAACGTTAATTTGCCTCTATTGTTATGTCCCTTAAGAATATTCTAGTGGCAATTTTTGCTTTATTCATTTAAAGAACTCTGCTATTTCTGAAATACCTAATGTAGAGAACCCACCATTCTTTTTAAGTTAATATTAAAGCATTCTTCTATTTTATATCATGATGTCAAATCTACTACTGATTGACTTTTATACACATAAATGTAAACTTAGATTTCCATTTCAGATTCATATCTCCAACCACTTTTATATTCATTTACTCATAAGTTTGAAAGGAGCTTAAAATAGTCAGTCACATACCAAATGTGACTTCATCTTGCCAAGTGGTTATTGTACCAAGACTTCTATAATTTCAGTCACAAAAATCTTCCTACACAAATCACATTTCAGTATTTGTAGGTATTCTTAGTAACCTTTTCTTTACCACTGTTTTCCAAGCACCTAGAAAGTTGTCTGGCGCATGCTAAGTGTGCCATACATTTTGTGGAATGAATGAATAAATGAATGGTTGATATGAAAAACACACTATCTTTTAAGTTTTTTGATAGTTCTGCAATGACAAAGCAATATTTCCTTAATTCAGGATACAAGTACATTTGTGTAAAAGAAAGGGTAAAATAACTAAGGAAACCTTTTTTTTCTTTTAAAAGAAAAAGGTTGACATATGTAAAATTCCTATTCCACATGAATACTTGGCCTGCCAGTAGGGCAAGAAGATATGTTATCTTCCCTGAATACTGAGGCAGGGAAGTTGGGAGTTGCTCCTTAAGCCTGGATAATTGCCATTTCAGCCTGCTCCAAGTGGAAAATTGAACCTTATTCTGAACTGGGGAGGGAAACAAGAATTCAGGCTGATGGTTAATATTGGGACAAGATCTACTGATATTATGAATAACTTTTATGATCTGTGGGAAGAAAACTGTAGTTGTGTACTGGACATCATGTGATTCCTTTGTTTCCTCTTTTGTATTATTCTAGCAGCACTATCCATAAACAGAACCCATAGTAACAGTAATAATTTTAATAACGTCACTAAAACAAAATGCAAATTTATATTTTGTAAGTCCAGTTGTTCTCAAATATATTCATTTAAATCCTAAAAAAATCATAAAGAATAATTTTGAAACTATTTAAATCCTGGTCCCTGTTTTTATGTTGAAAAAGCCTCGTGACATGTTCAAAGCCATATTGGGATTCAGAATGTTTATTCAGGATTGTATTTTTTCAACTAAATTATTCATAACACCTGATGACGATGATGAATTTGTGGTTGCTAAGTTAGTGTTGGACATTGCATCTCTAGGCGTCTGATTAAGTGGAAGTTGCCATTTACTGTGCTGTGCTGTGAGCTGCCAACAAAAGCTGAATCTGTCACAGGTGCTACAATTTGTATTTCAGAAAATTCACTTTCCCAACTTTAATTATCCCCAAAGTAGCCCACTCTACATAAAGTACTGAAAGGAGTTAGCATTTTTTTTCCAGTTGAGTACTTTGATGTAAATTAGGATTTTGTCTACTACTTACATGTTACAGAGATGATGGAATTTCAAGTGAAGGATGAGGCCCTTTGTTTTACAATATAAAACACTATTTTCTTTTCATTTATCCACTTTGAAATAAGAAAAAAACATTTAAAAAGTAGCCATAAGTAAATAACATTGATAATGAGACAAACTGTGTTTCTTAGAAGGCAACAAGGTGTGAATTAGGTAGAAAGTGTATCAGTTTAGCCACTGAGTTTTGAACATGAGAAATGGGAGGTTCTAAGCCCCAAAATACTAAATAAACCTAGGAATTACTTTTTCTTATTAAATATTGTGTTTCAAATTCATGGAAATAATTTTTGGAATAGGCAGCCTCTCGTTTACTAAGACTAAGGAACAGATCGTGGAGAAAGTACTCTTTCAGCAAAGCAATCCTTCTTAACATCAGCACATATCAGTGGCTTTTTTTCCTTTTTCAATAAAAAAAAAATATTTATTTTTCAACACTTTAACACAAAAGTGAAAGTGAAAGTTCTCCCTCAATATTTCACTGTAAAGGTAGTTTCTTTGAAATTGACTGATTTTGACTTGCTCAATTAGAGGAAGATCTTCAACTGTTGAAATCTGCAAGATGTGACTATGGCTATGAAAATCATTTTTAAGAGATTAATATTGTTTGATGACTTAATTAGGAAATATGCTATAGTTAAACTCTTTGGAATATGAGACTTTTTGTCTTTCTGCATGTCTTTCTCTTTATATTAATGCAATTCCAACAAATGGAAATGGTCAATTGAATTGAGAAATAAACGTGTTTACTGGTAATTGTCTAATCTTTGAATCGTAATTACAATTTTAAATTCTTGCAGGATTATTTAACTATTCACAAGTATGGCAATGCAGCCAGAAATGATCTCTGGAATACATTATCAGAGGTAAAGTATTGAAAGCTCAAGTATCAAAAATCTCTACTTGAATCTTTGAATTGAGTATATGACATTTATAACTTTATTGATACTGACAGTTTGTTTTTACTTTTTGTATTTCCCATTTCCTCATATTGTTTTTTTGTTTTATGTTTAATATAATATATTATAAAGATAATGGGGTTAAAATTACTTAAACTACAAATCATAGTAAAAGATTCCTTATCTGATTTCAAACATGACAATAGTTCTGAAATATAATTGATATCTTGTAAGATATTCATGTTAAAGAAATATTTAAATTTTAAATATTTTTCCTATATATGAATTAAAAATATTTATGTGTGACACTAAACATACTGGAGAAACCTGATGCTGCAAGAAATTCTTTAGCATTAAAATATAATTTATTTTGTTATGCAAAAACTTTAATGTTAATACAACTTTCATTTTTATATATGTGTGTGTATATATATGTATATACACACACACATATATATATATATATATATATATATATATATGCATGAAGCTTAACTTCAGGCAAAAATATTAATTTTACCAGCACATTATATTGACTTCATTGGCTTTCAGTGTTTTCATATTTAGGTTAATTGTAAAGGTGAAAATTAAATTGGCTTAATGTTAATTATGTTTATAATTGATGTTTATAAAACTGATTTATACAATTTTGATTATAAAGGCTTTAAAAAGGAATGGAAAGTATGTAAATATACAAGAAGTAATGGACCAGTGGACACTCCAGATGGGTTATCCTGTTATCACCATCTTGGGAAACACAACCACAGAAAATAGAATAATAATTACCCAACAACATTTTATTTACGACATCAGTGCTAAAACTAAAGCACTTCAACTTCAAAATAACAGGTACAACTCTCTTTTTTACATGAAAATTTGTTTTTATTCTTTCTTTTCACTTTGCATTTTTATTATATTTTAAATAGCATTGATAATGCAATTCTGAAATGCTGTCAGTGCAGTATAGCTTTCTTTATTTACACATGCAATTTTCATTTTGATTCTTCTATTACTCCCATTTTCTGGATATTTTTATTCTTACAGAGACCACACACCAAGGTTATTTGTTTAAAAAGACAAAATTTTAAATTATCATGGTGATTTAAAAAAAAATCAGATGTGATTTTTCACTTTTTCCTATGAATATTTCTTGAATTAAACTCAAGAAAGTGAAGATGTGTTGTAGTGAATTAAATGGAATGAGCAAACTGTGAGATTTATAAAACAAATGAGAATAGAAACTAATAATCCAGAAAAACTAATTAAAACAAAAAAATCTAAACTAAATAATGTCTGAGTCAAAGGGACTTAAATAACTTAAAATGATCTAAGCATCAGTGCCACTTAGCATCAAAATATGTTTTCTTCCCCTTATTTTTAGTGTTTAAAATCACTAAACAGACAGCATACATAGAATGTAGATTTGTTAGGTTTTTTAAAATTTTCTTTTGATACTCTTATTGAATTATTTATAACTCAGATTGTAGGATTTATTTCTTTTCTACTTAATGTTTTTTGACTATTTAGTGTCTCATTAAAGGCTGAGCCAATGAAAGATAATAGAACTTAAATTAATGAGTTTCACTTCATATAAGATGCACTGGTAAGAGGTTGGGCAAAGGTTGGTGGACAGGGAGGGAAACAGGTTAAACTTAACAAATAAAATAAGATGTTTGGATTAGGTTACTCAAGCTGTCTCCTATTACCTTTTCTAGGAGATCTAGAGCACACATTAAGTTTACTTTGTTATCTCTAAGAAGAATAGAAATGGTTCCCAAGTAGGCTAGCTCCAAGACTGGCTATACAGAGAAGTAATTGAGAATTCATGAGTGTTTCTGGTGACTGCATTTGGAATTCGATTTAGGAAAGCAGTGTCTTAAATCTCCTTCTTAATATACAGTCTATATTACCTTCAACACACTGCCCTTTGTAATCCAATTGCTTGAACTAGTGGAATACGGTGTTACCCTGCCACCGTGTCACCACTGTTAGGGTCTGACTTATCAGTGTGCTTCTGTACCCAGCCTGGATTCCCTACAGCTGCCTAGTGCTGCTTCTAATCGTCTGCCGTCTGGCCCCAGGCTAAACATGCTTAGGCATCTACTCTGGCCTTGCCAGGAACTACATAAAAACTACTTGACTGTGGCAAAGCTAGAGAGATTTGGGGCAGGCCTTTGAGAAGGATCAGTCTGACATAAGCATCACTGATGCAGAAAAACATAAAGGACACACAGATGACAGAATAAATTTTGAGCAAAAATACTCTGTCAACCTATAAAATGTACCAGCCACAAGTCTGACTCTTTAAAAGAAGAATTTCTCCGAGACTGTATAAGTGTATGTAGTATCTAGAGAGCTTTGCTTTTGCTGGAGTTATAAAATCATGGATGATTTTGAACTGAGAGAACTTGACATATACAATATTAAGATATTTCAGGGCATCCTGTTAGTCTCAAAAATGATTTCCATTTATTTAAAAATAATAGAGCTTATAGTTGAAAGTTTCATGTTTAATTTTATATTATTGATCATTTAATTCACTATAACATTTTGGTCAAAGCGTCAATGCCAATTTACCTGGCCTTTGTCTCTAGCTTTCCTACATCTTTATTGCAATGCAAACAGTTGATGGAGTAAATCTTACTGCCCATCAAGACCAGAAATCCTGTGAATTGTGGTTACTTTCTGAGCCAGGATAATGAATTGTCTTTATTTTTCTAAGGTACACTAGAACGTCATTGCAATATGCCTAGGACATTTTTAATGTATCTAGTAACTAAATTTTTACACGTATATAATAGTTATATTACAGCATAGAAAAGAAAGATCTTTCCATAACTAATAATCATATAAAGTTAGCTCATGTGTAACAGAGTGTAAAATGTGTTAGAATTTTGATACTTGGGAAGTTGCTAATTTCTGTAGCTCTTTTTTCTTGATAAAGTTAATGCTCATTGCAATGTTAAGTAATGTCTTCTTACACACTGTATGCATTTGTTCTTTTCTACTTTAATATAATCATTAGAATAAATTTTGCTTTATTATTAACATGAAAATGCAAACTACTGATGAAGAAAGGTAGTCCCAAGAACTATTAAAGAAACGATGTCTTGGGGCTCTTTTAAAATGCATTTTTTTTTTTTTTACTTTTTTTTAATGCTGACAATGAGATGACTAAAATTTAAGTTAAATTTAAGCAGCTGGAACACAATCTAATTTCACAAATTCTTTTTCCTAGTCTCTTTTTAAACATAACCCATTGCGGTCTTACATTTTTTTACAGGCATACCACACAGGGCTTCTCATTCAACTATGTTTAGTGTCTTCTAGTCTTTTAAGTTGTAATCACAAAACAACATAATTATCATGCTTTGTTTGAGTTTTAAAGTGAAATTTATGAAAAGACCAAATACATGTTGTTTGGAAAAATATGAAAAATAACTTATATAGCATTAACAGTACAACAGGTCAGAAATGAATACAAATTTCAAATATGCTTGGTAACTTGTAACTTTTAACTTGTCTTTGTGATAATGTATAGGTTTTTTTGTGTGTATGTGTACATACTTCCCCCCAATACACATAGAATAAACTACAAAAGCATTATTAGGAAAAATATAGAAGTCTGTATTTTTAAAAATTTTGTAAAATACCCCAATGTTTATATCTCAAAATCTTACATTTAACTTACATCTGAACAGCTATGTGATACAATGTCTGACATTTAAGAAGTTTTCTATATGTGTGTGGTGTTGTTGACTATACAAGCATGCGGATGAATCTTTTTCTTGTACTTTAGAGACTTTTTCCTAAGACTTAAATATTGAAACATACCAACTTTATGATAATCTCTAGTTACTTAGAAGGATACAGTTTAAATACCTATAAAATTATGTTTGCTTATATTAAGGGCAAACAATATTCCATAACCATTTTATGATCATACTACATAAAAGACACATTTATGCTTAAGGATTTTAAAACATCCTCAATTTTACATATTCTTTGCTCTTTAACTGATACTTACTTGGCTTCCCAATTTAATTGACCCAATCAATGTGGAAGATGTATACTAAAAAGTCAAGTTTATAAAGTTAATCTCTGTCTTACCTATAAATTGATTTGGTCTCTTTTTGTTTTACTTTAATCCAAACCGATTCAATCAAATTTAACAGCAATTTATAAAATGTCTCCTATTTCCAGGCTTTTCCAAGATCAAGGTATACAAAATTAGCTTATAAGTTAACTTGAGAATCAGATCCAGAGTCAGATAACAGTTTTCTCTTAACTAACTAATTATTCCAGTTAACCAAAAGAGATTCATCATTTTTAGAGAACAAATATTAAAGAACTATATCAGTTCTCTGTATCTTCCACAGTAAATCTGTCATTAAATATTTAAGGTATATTCTTAGTCCTATGTTGGAAGCTCGGCAGTATTTGTTAAGACCGTATATGGGTTGTTGTTCACCAACTACTATCAGAAGAATCAATACAGGTTTGGCTACTGGAAATACAATACAGGAAATAAAATTATCTTATTTCCTGACTGATGATGTGGAGTCAATGTTAGTATGTACTAGTGTCTCCACAGAGTTGGCTCTGAAAAATGTTTTTCTTATTAAAAACAGCTGATCGTTTCTTTATATTATATTTTTTATACTTTTTTATATTATATTTTATTTTTTTAGAATTTAAAAATATACAGAAAAGTAGTTTAACATAGATTGATCATCTTAGCTCTCTGAAATAACCACTATTAATATTCTGACATATTTTAAAATTTTTTTTTTTATTTCAGGAAAATTTGAGAGTACAAGCATTTTGTTATATTTTGTATCTTTGCCTCTCCCTAGCAAGGGTTAGAGGTGTGCCCCTCCCCTCCGCAATGCTCCTCACGTCCCTCAGCTGTGAGTCGAGGGCTGGCTTTAGCTCAGTAGTTCCTTCGCCAGTGTTTCAACAGCAGATAGTTTTAAAATTTAGAATTTTAAACATATTATATTGACTTTCATTGCTGAAGATAGCAGTTGGTATAAAACATTTTCAATCTTCCATTTCAATACTTTACTATTTCTGAATTCTATTTGTTGTGATGCAAAATAAGAAATGATTAAATAATCAAACTCCACATGACAGATTTCCTCTCCCACCCCCCAAAAAGACATATCATTATAATGTCTATTACCCCAAGCATGTTTACTGAAAAATTATCAATTCTTTATTCACTCACACAATTGTTGAGCTGACATACCATCTCTTCTTACATTTCTAAAATGAAGAATATTTTTCCCTTACTAGAATTGTTGGCTACCCTGTTGCTAATCATGCAATTATAGATCAAAATACTCTGACTATATTTCGAAGAAGGAAACAAACAATAGTCAACAAGCTTATTGTAAGACCAGTCAGAATCTTTCTGGCTACTCACTCATGTGAGATGAAATTGATATTACTACATGTACAAGTAGAGGCCTCAATTTTTATCCTATAAAACAGCAAATGTTAGAAAATGCTTCTCTTTGATAGCTGAGATTCATGACTGGTCCTGCATGTTGGTGGATGCCTTGACACATCAATTTGGAAATTCCATTTCAGAAAACAGAGCGTTGTGTGTGCCCCACAATGTTTTTTGTATTGATTGGATTTCAGGATAATCTAATTAGTTTTACTCTTCCATTCTTTTTTGCTGAGTAACTTCAGGCATGCCATATTAACCTTTCTGTCAAGTATGTTAATAGTGACCTGCAGAATCATTAGACAATAAATAAAAGAGAATATTCAAATGTAAATGCATGAAGCCACTGAAATGTATATTAATCTAATATGGAAAAAAGAAGAAAGGAGTTATTGTTAGACTTTAATCAATATATGATGTGGCTCAGATTTATAGACACTAGTTATTTTTTATTTCAAATGCCAAATGTAAATCTGTCTTTTATGTTGTAGTTGTTGTTGTTTAAGATAAATTGATTGGTTAGCATTGAAATTAGTTCTCTTTTCAAAGTTCTCTTTTTGCATTGAAATTAAAACTCTTGGAGGCTAAGTCTTCTTATTGGCATTGAAAGTGAATTCATCTTCCTGACTTATTTCTTATTTTTATGACTAGGAATTTTTTTTACATTCTCTAAGAAGAGTAATAAATATCATACAAAGGTGCATAAGAAATGTTTGTTTTTGTTTTGTTTGTTTGTTTTAATATAGCTATTTCTATTCTTAAAGTTTCTCTTTTATTTTGCAGTTACCTGTGGCAGATTCCATTAACTATTGTGGTAGGAAATAGAAGCCATGTGTCTTCAGAAGCAATTATTTGGGTGTCTAACAAATCAGGTAAAATATATATTCTCCCCTGAGGAACTATCTGGTTTCAGATAATAGTTTAGCAACTTAACCTCTGGTTTGAGCTGTTGTAAAATGTGAATGAAGACAAATTACAAAGAGAAGATAGAGGAATGATAATCACCTCTATAAAATTAGATATGGTATAACGTAGTTTCCCAGTAGTCTAATTTCAGTCTGCCTATATAATTATTAAATTTATTTGTTTCTTTGATGTATTTGTAGTTAGTATTTGTAGTCCTAATCCTAGCTGTTTTAATCTGCATAATTTTATAACTCTAAAGAACTTATTTCTTTGATGTATTTGTAGTTAGTGTTCATAGTACTAATCTTAGCTGTTTTAAACTGCATAATTTTATAACTCCAAATGTAACTATAATATAATTATAAGTCCCAATAGAACAGTATGCTAAATACTGAAACACAGGCGTTATTTTTAATCCCACTTACTTTCTTGCTGTCTTCTCTTTAATAGACTGTCTCTTTAAGAGATGAGGAAGAAATAGTCTCCATGGAATTATCTAATTAGAGGGCCAGTAGGGAGGGGCTTAGACAGGTCATCAAACCACCTCCTAGGTAGGGTCAAACCTCAAGGAGCAGAGAGAGATGAGATTCTATTCTTTCTCTAAATATCTTCAAATAAGATAGTGACCTATTTCAATTTACTGTCAGAAAGCTATTTCTTGAGTCCAATCTATATCCTTCATGCTACAATGTGAAACAGGTCCCTTTTATTTCTGTGTTCCATTGAGTTGGAGAAAAAAGGCAATTATCATCTTTTATGTAACATTTCATTTAGATTTAGATGGTCAAGTGTGTTCGTAATTTTTTCTTATTCCTTTCTCACATGCTGTTAATTGATGTTATCTTACTCTTTTGGTAAGCATATTTTAAACAGCTACAAATCTTTTATTTGAAATAAGGTGAAATATAGGTAAAAATAAGTAAATATTGTTTCTTCCTCTTAGTCTTGCTATTAAGTGCTCAAAATACATAAATTTATACATTAAAGAAAAAGTTCTCACAGCAAAATCTAATCTGCTTACCAGAAGTAAATACACTTATAGTTCCAGGTATATTTTTATTGAAATTTTAATCTTATTGCATTTTTAACACATAATCACATAATGTGAAAATATATGCTTTCACTTACATATATTGTATATAAATCATTGATATGTAATAATACAGTGATGCATTGAAATGCCTACCTTAACATTTGTTCTTTTCGTTTCCTGGAATTAATATTTATATCATGATTCTGAATGCATACTTACTGTATTGTTTTTCTTTTATACTTTTCTTTCCCCTTATGTAGTTGTTTAATTTATCTACATAAGTTGTTATGAAAGCAGTGAGTTGTTATTGTAATGATTTAACTATTAGAATGAAGTCATCCCTCCACAGGATTGCCAGGAGCATGAGATACAACAATCTTCAGAAATAAAGTAAAATGTTTATCTTTAGAAAGTAGAATGGACATGGGAAAATTAAAAGAATGTAAATATACTAATCAAACATCAGAATTAGCACAAAACTTTACCTTTAAATGGTGGAAAGACTCAGGACAAGCCTGGTTCTTTTTGGATACCTTTCCTCTAAACTCCCTAGTTATTTCCATGCCATTATTCATGGTATTCTCATCCTTCAAAGATTATGGAGAATTATGTTTGACGAATCATTTCCCTTTAGAGGCTTTCATTATCATTTGGGAATAATAACAATGCATTGGTTTAAACCATAATTTTGGCTGAAATATTACCTACATTGATATGTATGGCTGTCACACATAGCTGCACAGTTTGTGCAGTGCATGACTCTAGGAAGTGCTATTTACACTATGATATGAGTGGCACATCCCCCCACTCCAAAGTTGTGCAATGTGTGACCTGCACACAATAATGCAATAATGAGTCATTTTCTGTTACACCATAGCAGAATCCTCTGTTTGATATAAACATTGTCACATTTGTAATGTTGAGTTTTTCAGGATTCCCATACTGAATAAACGCTTCCCGAAATGTTTTCCAAAAACTTTATAAATACAAAAAATCTGGAAGAAAGTTTCCAAAAGGCACCTTAAAGAAAGACCACCTTCCTGTTTTGCCTTTACATCCCCTTGTATTCAATTTTGTCATGAAGTCCTTCATTCTGATGACTAACACCAAACAAAGATTAGGAAGAAAAAGAAAAGATTATTAACTCTTGCCTTCTTTTATGTTATCACATCTCCTTTTCTTCAAAATATTGTCAACTAATATCTATGAAAATTTTCCCCATAAAAACAGGAAGAAAATATTCTGGTCAATTTTTTTCAACATATGCAAAAAAATCCATATTTAATTATACCATCAGATCTTTTCATTGTCAGTACTGATATAGATTTGATCTTATAAGATATTTAGGCAAAATCATTGATGGATTCTACAAAATATAAATTTGATTGGAATCATCACATACTCTTGACAGTTCAAGTTTTTAAAAACACTTTGTGAATATCTAATCAATTCCAAGGTAAGGCATAGATCATTTTAGCCTAAAAATAGTTTTTACACCGATTTTTAAGTTATTGAAAGCACGTTGCAGTATTTATCTTTTTCATTCTTAATATAAAAATATCAATAATTGAGATATGTTTATATGTTGCATGTTGATTGGCTACTCAACTAACACTGAGTGGAGGGGAATAAATTTAATGCCAAATGTTGGGTCAAAAAAGGTTTAAATGGAAGAGAAATTGATCCTGAAAGTAACTATTAGAATATTAGAAGTATTAGAAGTAAACATTAAAAATAGCATAATGCTATAGTACTTTCCTCAAATGTTGGTTCATGTGAGACTCACAAACCTTTATTTTATTTTATTTTATTTTACTTCAGAATATTATAGGGGTACAAACATTTTGGTTACATAAATTGCTTTTGTATCATTTGGGTCAAAGTTATAAGTGTGCTCATCCCCTGATAGTGTTCATTGTACCTGTTAGGTATGAATTTACACCTCCCCTCCACCGTCCTCCCTCTTGCTTGATTTGCAATGAATGTTATTTTCATATGTGCACGTAAGTGTTGATTAGTTCCAATTTAATGATATAGAGACTCACAAACCTTTAAAATGAGTATTATTTTTATCTCCACTTTAAAAATGAGGAAAATAAGGCTTGAGAAATAACTTGCTCAAAATGTCAGTCAGTTAGTTAGGGTAATAGCTGGCTTTAGGAGCTTGGTTTTCTTTTCTCTTGACCCCTTCCCTGACTCATACTTGTGTGTGTATGAACGGTCATGCACAAACACGTATATACTGGTTAGGATCTTAATACTTTGATAGGTTGCTTTGTAGATCTGTCAGTTACTCAACATGATGTCTTTGGATATATGCACATGGTTCTTTATAGGTTTTACGGAACATTCTCATTTTATCTTCACAAATGTCCAGTAAGGAAACTATTATAATATGTCTTATCCCTTATTTTGTATCACATTGTTACCCTTATTTTTCTGGGTGACCCTCTTTTAGAAAATTCTAATTCTTTGCAACCAGCAAGTTTAGGGAAGAAATGCCTAATCTCTTTTCCCTATTTATTACAAAAGAAAGTATAAAATATAAAATCTTACAAAATACCAACTACTCTATACATTGATATAGTCTAAGTCTTGTACCATTTTGGATACATTCTAAATATAATTTTTAATTATTATTACCAACACTCGAAATATAACTTCTATATTTTTTATTATGGTCCTAATCAAATACCATACCTCATTAGGCTATTGGAAAAGATCTCCTTAAAATTCATTGCTTGCCATTAGTTAATTTGAAGAACATTTTAGGGATATAATTAACTATAACTGAAAAGATATTTAAAAATCTATTACAAAATCTTTCAGGGAATCATTTCTACAAAGATCTCATTTGTAACAAGCATAAAAATATTCATGAACAGTAATAACCTTCAGGTTTTAGATATAAATTTAATAATGACATGCTTAAAAACAATATAAACCTGATTTTCTTATTCTGGTCAGATATTATAGAAGGTATAGGAATTATTTTGCTATTTTAATGTACATATTAATTTTAATTTGACTATATTCCAACTATAAGTTGTTGAATAGAATAAGATTAAAAACTAGAGCCAAGTGAATTACCTGGGCTTGAGTTATGGTAGCTATCTAAAATGCAAACAGGAAGCAACCTTAAAAAGTAGATTTAATGTCATGAAAATCTATGACCATTTCAAACTTGTAAAAAATCTAAATCATATATTAAACTCAATGCTTTAATATTATGACTTTTTGAAAAAAGAATACTTAGATGAAAATTATCAAATTTGCTCTTAGCTCAAGTGAATTCAATCATAGTTTTAATATTTTTTCTTATAAAAATCTTATTATATTTGAAGACAGGGTTACTCAGGAGAAACAGTATTCTTGATATTCAAGCTTTAAGTTTTATTCACTGAATTCAGAAATGATCAATTGAAGTCTTCATGGGATTATTTTAGTTTAGTTTTTAAGAATGCCATATTGTTAGTAATTTTTATTGTCATTTTTACGTTTGTAAAATGGATATGACATTCTAAAACTTCTTCAAAGCAATTTGTGGTTAAACATTAAAATTTTGAAAAATATAAAATTACAGAGTTTCAGAGACTTGAAAAATAACTTGCATTTTAGAAAAATATCTGATAGGCTAATTTTTCCAAGTACCATGGAGTAAGGTAAAATCTCTAAGAAAAATAGCCCCTTCGTCCACTGAATCATGGAATTGGAAGGGGTGTTAAAGGCCATTGTTTGATCTTCAAGTTATAGTAAGAAAATTGAGAACCAAAGAGAATCAATGACCTACATTCAAATATTTATGGTTAGGAAAGCTGCAATAAGAATCTAGCTTTCCTACACTATTCTATTTCTTTTTCCTATACCATTTCCCCCTTTCAAATCAATACAAGAATGTAACAAGTGTATATCATATTACAACAGAAGTGTTATACCATCTTGTATCAATAGATCATAACATAGGAAAAAAAGCCATGAAGTCAGGAGACCTAAAATGAACCATTTGGATCATTTGATTACCGTATATGTTCCAATAGACTTGATTTATAAAGGTGGTGAGAAGTTGAAGTGATACTTGAAACATTAAAAATTAAATTTTTACATTCAGCATACTTCTGGGTTTAAATACATTTTCTATTACTGCAGATTTTTGAAAATCAGTCATCTGTGACATGCATTGGATTAATTAGCCCCCACCCCATTCCAGACCTTAGAAATGAATGGTCATCAATGTCTTCCCAACACTTTTTGTGGTATAACTTCTTCTTGTGTGGCCTATACTTGAGACAAAGTACTCTGTAAATTCAGTCCTTCGAGGAAATAAAGGGGAAAATTTATTTTCGATTTGAAGTCTGATGTGTAAAAACTGTGCTAATGACATTAGAACTAGAGATGTTCTCAGACCTGCGGCATATGGTTTCTGAGATGTATTTTATGGTTTTGAATCATTGTAGGTAGAACAATGTGGTTTTGTTTCTTTCCCTCCTGGAAGTCAGACTCTGTGTGTGTGTGTGTGTGTGTGTGTGTGTGTGTGTGTGTGTGTGTGTGTTTAAATTTTGGTCAACTTCATTGTGTAAATTTTATGAAGCATGAGTACTGAAGATCAACAGCAAAATTATTAGAATTGTGAAACGTGGTTCTGTGCAATCAATGAAGCTTAACTTTACAAGTGAATGGAGTTCTCTTTCTATATCATATTTGAAGGAGTTAAATATGTAAAAGTTATAATATTGTTTTTACTGGCTTCTGCTAAATTAGCTGAGAAACATAATCAAGTTACCATTTTCAGAGTGATCCCAATAAGAATTTATTATTGTTGTTTCAACGTGAAAATATTACAGTCTTGAACAAACAAAATTCCTTTTTCTAGCATTATTGATGATGTTGAAAAGTCTTATTTATTAGTATTTCTAAGAAAGCACAAGAAGAAAAGGCAAGAAAAAGTAGTGACTTTCAAGTAAATGACCTCTGTTTTTTAATCATTTTCTTACTAAGCAAAATAAGTAGACTATGCATCTAAAACCTCTGCTTTTATTCTAGCAACATACCCTGATACAATCTAATTAGAAGCTGCATGAATACAATGATAGATTTCTGGGTAACACTTATTTTGAGAAAGAAAATTATGTATAAGCAATAGGGTTTTGTCAAGAACAAAAATGTTAATTATAACAAAACAGTTAATTGAGATTATAATTAGTAACTAACTAAAGGTTTGTCTAGCAAATTCTAGATGCAAGTGATTAATTAAAGAGTAGGTTTCAATTAGGTATTTAGGATGGAATTTTCTTTTAACTATTGGTATTGTTATATCTGTTATTAAGAAAATATACTCCATTCCATTTTCACTCTTAAAATTTAAAATCTATTTACTTCCAAAATGCTATTTTCAGAGCACCACAGGATAACTTATTTCGACAAAGGAAACTGGCTGCTGGGGAACATCAATCAAACTGGTTATTTTAGAGTCAACTATGACCTAAGGAACTGGAGATTATTAATTGATCAATTAATCAGGAACCATGAGGTATACTCTGGATTTGCTCATCAAAGATCTGTTTTGATATGTTAACACCTGCCATTTTAATCAAAATTATTCCATTTTTTTTTTTTTTTCTGATTGGCTTCATAGGTTCTATCTGTCAGTAATCGAGCGGGTTTGATCGACGATGCCTTCAGCCTGGCCAGGTATGTTTTTCTGTGCATCTTCACAGTAAACACTCATGCTTGCAAAACTTCCTCTATTAAGCTAAATAGTATATATTTTTTGAATTTAAGAAGTTTTAAAAAAACAATTTCTGTCTCACATTCTTCACGTTTGGATATGAATAATAATTAGTGTCCCGAACTCTCGATCAATAATAGCCATAGGGTATTTCCAAATTAAGAGAAGCTGGATCAATTTCTCTGCAAGTTCAATTTAATACTCTGAAGATTAATAATCTCTTCCCAATTTCATTAATGAAAATAATCATTATGTCATATTTAATTTTTAATAGAAAAAAACCTTCAAATATTGGCAATTTTTCTTGATATTTAGCAGTTTTTTAAAAATGTGTTTTTGAATGTGATATTCGTGATGACAAGAAGCTTGTGCTACAAGACAGAAATAAATATTCCACTGGGTAGAACTGTTCTGGACAAAATATATATCGATCTTCTGTCAGAAGATTTTAGTTATGCTAGTTATAGTAATAGCAATGCTATATTCATAATTCAATTTATGTTAAAATTAGTTATTCCTTCTAATAGTCATTAAATGAAATAATGTTGATTATAAACTCAAGGTATTTCTTCAATTTTGAGACAAAATGATAAAATCAACTCAGTTCTTTTAATATTTTGTACTATTTCACATCCAAGTATGGTTTTAATGTTAATAATCTAATTTTCCAAGCTACAAATTAAGACATGGGTAACTCTCTTAATTTTGCTACGGTGATTTACCACATATTCGTCTAAGATACTTGTGTGAAACTGGTTAGTTATGTTTGTGCTGATATGAACACATGACTTATCTTTGCAATAGATGTTGTTTCATACATGGGACCTGAAACTGCTTTTATGGTATATGTATTCAATCAAATTTCTTCTCTTCCATATGTTAAAAAGCATCTCACACCCTATAGCATTTTATCCCATCAAACGAATAAGCTTACATTTAGAAGGCTTGATGATTACTTTGATTGAATGAAAGCCAAAGTTTGTAATGAAGTTACACAAATTAATTTTGGAGAAATAAGTCATGTGGAGGGAAGAACACATACAGCAGGGTAAAGAAGAAATTTCCAGTGCTTTTATGTTTTATAAAAAGAAATCTCTGGCTGGGCACGGTGGCTCACGCCTGTAATCCTAGCACTCTGGGAGGCTGAGGCAGGAGACTCGATTAAGCTCAGGAGTTCGAGACCAGCCTGAGCAAGAGCAAGACATGTCTCTACTATAAATAGAAAGAAATTAGCCAAACAACTAAAAATAGAAAAAATTATCCAGGCATGGTGGTGTGTGCCTGTAGTCCCAACTACCCTAGAGGCTGAGGCAGGAGGATCCCTTGAGCCCAGGAGTTTGAGGTTGCTGTGAGCTAGGCTGATGCCACAGCACTCACTCTAGCCTGGGCAACAAAGCAAGACTCTGTCTCAAAAACAAAAAAAACCCCTCTGACTTTTGTCTTCCTTATTGCCGTTAAGGAAGCCAAGAACCAAGAACCATTACTAATATTTTTTTCATTTGGTGAGCGATGCTGTATCAGTGCCTCCTTCTAACCAAGCATTCTGTAGAGTTGCAGGCACAAATTTGCCTTCTAACTAAATGGCAAGTGTAAGAACAATTTATCAGGGAGGAAATTTCTACGGAAATTGTACCAATTGAATGTAGTTGTTTAATGAGAGCTGGGGTTCACTTCTAGCAAAGGTAGATGAGGGCTATTCTGTGCTATGGCACTATTTTATTGGGCAAATTTTAGACATAATAGAGAGGGAGGAAGACCTGCTCGAGACAGTGATATATGGAGATAATGATTAAGATGTAGCTTATGCTTTGCAGTGGAATAGGAACACATTGAAGAAAGTATTAGGTATGACAGAAAAACCATTTTGACATAGAAGTTTAGAGAGTCCAGAAAGCCAGAAAGAGAATGTACTTAATGTAATATTCCACTGAAAGCGGAACAGAAAAAAAGAGAGAGAAATGTTGAGTACTCCAAGGAAAGGGTTAGGAACTCAGAGAGAACTAATATCACTAACTTGTAATTATCAAACACAAAGTGTGAAATGGTGGTCTGTTTTATATATACTAATTTGTTTAATTCTCACAACATCCCTACAAGATACATAAATATATTTTATTATTATTTCCACTTAAAGGCGAGGAAATGGAGGCTCAGGGAGGTCGTGAAACTTGCCTAAAGTCATACAGCTAATAACTGGCAGAGCCAGGGCCTGGATCCAGGTGTTTTGGCTACAGAATCTATGCCATTAACCCGAGTACTATGCCACTATCCTGGTTCTTGGCAGTAATGTTACTTCTTTCAATAAAAGAGCCAGGCAAAACAGAAGGACTGAGGGGTTTTGAAACAGTAGTTCGTGGGAATCCTTATGGGTTTGAAATGATGGTGAGAAAGCAGATAAGTAATGATATCCTCAAGACAGAGGACAGATGGAAATTGAAAGGAATCTGCATTAAATGATAGAAATTATTTTAAAATGGAACATTTTATTTATTTTAGTGGATGATTTTTTTTTCCAAAATTAGATTCCTTGTTCACTGAGGCAAAACATTGTTTTCAATTACAATTTTGGAAGCCTTAAAAGTTTGAAATAAATAATTTCATTATTATTCATGCAAATTCACCAGAAAGTATGTAAATCTCATTGAATATGTACTTCTAATTTGTTTTATTGCACATGAGATAATTTTACTATTAATATGAGAGTAAATAAATGCAAAATCAGATTTATTCAGGCAAATGCCCTGTATTTATTTGGAGTTAAGGGTAGTGGAGAGGGGGAATAAAGTGGGAACAGTTAATGGGTACAAAAATATAGTTAGAATGAAAAACGTGTGATAGCACAACAAAGTGACTATAATCAACAATAAGGATTATTTATGTTTCATTGTAACTTAGTAGATACAGTTTTGCTATTCAATCTATATCAACCTTCTTTCAGTTTCCTAAACATAGTATGCATACTTTTGGTTTCTTCAAAGATAAAAAGTAGAAGAATAGCCAATCTTTATTAAATATTCCTATAAAGGGATTTCTTTATCAATGAATTTAAAATGTTATTATCTTAATGTAAATGTTCATATTTTAGGGAATTAATCTGATCTCATTTAATTATTCTTTTTGGCATCAGCATCATACTGTTTTAAATGGTTCAGGTTTATTGTATATTGCAGTCGACAAAATTTGATCTTGTTCTTATTCAAAATCTTACATATTTCTTTTGAATATAAATTTTATAATCAGTTTGACAAATTCCAATACAAAATCCTGCTATATCCAGGCATGGTAGTGCATGCCTGTGATCCCATTTACTGGAGAGGCTGAGGTGGGAAGATAGATTGAGCTCAGGAGTTCTAAATCTAGCCTGGGCAACATAGTAAGATCTTGTCACTAAAAAAAAAAAAGAATAAAGAGAAAATAGATGAATAAATAGAGAATAAAGAGAAAAATAGATGCTGGATATTCATTGGATTTATAAATTAATTTGTAGAGTTTTAACATCTTTTCAAATTTGAGGTTTCCAATGACAGAATGTTATGTCTCCCAATTTATTCAGGTTCCTAAGTCGAGCCCTATAGTTTTATACACATGGTTTCTGGTAATATTGTGTTATTTCCTTGTTTTATTAAAAGATATAAGCTGTTTATGATCATGCTTTAGATGGAAAAAAGATATAAGCTGCTTTATGAAATGACACTGTTTCCACAATTACATATTCTAATTTTTATTGCTATGTACAGGGCATCAATTAATGTATTTGTTGGATGTTTGTGTTCTTTTTAATGTAACATTTTTTATTAATGAGATGCTTAGCATGATTTTTTTCATACTTTTCCCTAGATTTTGTGGCTGCATATTCTTTGATTACTTTTCTTCTTTTTTTTTAAATTTCAGCATATTATAGGACTACAAATGTTTAGGTTATGTACATTGCCCTTACCCCACCCAAGTCAGAGCTTCAAGCATGTCCATCTCCCAGATGGTACACACTGCACCCATTAGGTGTGAATGTATCCATTCCCTTCTCCCCTCCTCCCACCTGCCCAACACCTGATGAATGTTACTATTATATGTGCAAGTGAGTGTTGATCAGTTAATACCAATTTAATGGTGAGTACATGTGGTGCTTGTTTTTCCATTCTTGGGATAGTGCACTTAGTAGAAGTGGCAAAATTCTATCCAGGATAATATAAGAGGTGTTAAAGCACCATTGTTTTTTGTGGCTGAGTAGAACTCCATAGTATCCAAATATCGCATTTTATTAATCCACTCATGTATTGATGGGCACTTGGGTTGTTTCCACATCTTTGCAATTGTGAATTGTGCTGCTGTGAATATTCAAGTGCAGATATCTTTTTTATACAATGTCTTTTTTTCCTTTAGGTAGATGCCCAATAATGGGATTGCTGGATCAAATGGTAGTTCTACATGTAGCTCTTTGAGTTATCTCCATATTGCTTTCCACAGAGGTTGTACTAGTTTGCAGTCCCACCAACAGTGTATGAGTGTTCCCATCTCTCTACATCCCTGTCAACATTTATTGTTTTGGGTCTTTTAATAAAAGCCATTCTCAATGAATTTAAGTGATATCTCATTGTGGCTTTGATTTGCATTTTCCTGATGCTTAAAGATGTTGCGCATTTTTTCATGTTTCTTGGCCATTAGTCTATCTTCTTTTGAAAAATTTCCATTCATATCCTTTGCCCACTCTTTGATAGGCTTGTTTGATTTTTTCCTCCTTATTTTCCTGAATTCTATATAGATTCGTGTTTGTTTTTGGTTTTTGTTTTGATAAATAATTATTAGGTTGCAGGATATAAAAATGAAGAGGATGCACTCCTTGTTTTCAATGAACTCACAATCTAGCAGGGAAGATACATGGTAGAAAATAAGCTATTCAATTTATGAGTTCTGTGAGTAAAATATTATGAAAGCATAAAGGAGTAAAGAATTAATGTGGCCTAAG